ATCATTCATCATCATTAGACTAGCCTTACAAAAAATGTTCAAGGGAGTCCTAAACCAGGAAGAGGAAAGATGATAGTTATGATCATGAAAACATATGAAAGTGTAAAACTTGTGAGTAAAGCAAAGACACAAAAGAGGAAAAGACTCAAATGGTATTACAACAGAAAATTAGCAAACCACAAGGAAAAACAATAAGAGAAAAAGAAGAGAAGAATGCACAAAACCACCATGATATGGTTTGGCTCTGTGTTCCTACCCAAATCCCATCTCAAATTGTAATCTCCATGTGTCAAGGGAGGTTCACGTGTTGAGGGAGGGAGGTGACTGAATCATGGGCATGGTTTCCCAGATGCTCTTCTAGTGATAGTGAGTGAGTTCTCGAGATATCTGATGGTATTATAAGTCTTTGGAAGTTCACCCTTTGCTCTCCCTTTCCTGCTGCCTTGTAAAGAAGGCCCGAGCTTCTCGTTCGCCTTTTGCAATGATTGTTAAGTTTCCTGAGGCCTCCCAGCCATGCAGAACTGTGAGTCAATTAAACCTCTTTTCTTTATAAATTTCCCAGTCTCAGGTGTTTCTTTATAGCAGTGTTAAAATGGACTATTACAAACCAGAAAACAATTAACAATATGACAGGAACAAAACCTCACATATCAATAATAACCTAAAAGTAAATAGAATAAATTCTTCACTTAAAAGATATAGGCTGGCTTAATATACTTTTTTACAAACATAATTTAACTATATGTTGCCTACAAGAAACGCACCTTACCTGTGAAGACACAGACTGAGAGTAAAGAGATGGAAAAACATACTCCACACAAATTGAAATTAAAAGCAAGTAGGAGTAGCTATACTTCTATTGGATAAAACAGACTTTATGTCAAAAAAGGTTTTTAAAAAAGGTAAGGACATCAAATAATGACAAAGGAATCAATCCAGGAAGAGGATATTACAATTCTAAGTATATATGCACCCAACGGTGAGCACCCAGATTCACAACACAAATACTACTAGATCTATAGAGAAACATAGACTCCAATACATTAATAGTGGAGAACTTCAACACTCGTCCGTTAGCATGAGACATATTTAGATATAATATCAACAAAGAGACATTGTATTTAACTTGGACTTTAGACCAAACGGACTTTAAAGATATTCACATAATATTTTTCCCAACACAACAACAGAATGTACATTCTTCTCATTAGTACATGGAATATTCTCCAGGTTAGATCATATGCTAGGCAAAAAATAAGTCAACAAATTTTTAAAATCAAAATCATACCAAGTATCTTCTCAGACTACAATGAAATACAACTGGAAATAAATACCAAGAGGAACTTTGAAAACTATAAAAATACATGGAAATTAAACAACATGTTTCTGAACAACCACTGGGTCAATGAAGAAATTAAAATGGAAATTTAAAAAAAATGTTTTGAAACAAATGAAAATGAAAGCACAATATACTGAAACCTGAGGGACAGAGCAAAAGCAGTGTTAAGAAGGGTTTTTATAGCAATAAATTCCTGCATCAAAGAAACAGAAAGATTTCAAATAATCTAATGATGCACTTCAAGGAACTAGTAAAGCAAGAACAAACCAAACTCAAAATTAGTAGAAGGTGATAAATAATAAAGATCAAAGAAGAAATAAATGAAATGGAGACTAAAAAAGCAACACAAAAGATCAACAAAATGAAAACTTTTTTTAAAGATAAAACTGATCAACTGCTAGCTAAACTAACCAAGGAAAGAAGAGAGAAGGCCCACTCAAACATAATCAAAAGTGAAAAAGGAGATATTAAAACTAATACCACAGAAGTACAAAAGATCATCAGAGACTATTGTAAACAACTATACACTAACAAACTGGAAAACTAGAGGAAATGGATAAATTCCTGAAAACATATGACCTAGCATGATTGACTCAGGAAGAAATACAGAACCTGAACATACCAATGAGTAGCAAGACTGAATCATTAATGAAAAGATTCCCCCAAAAAAGAAAAGTGCAGTACTAGATGGATTCGCTACTGAATTCTACCAAATAGATAAGGAAAAACTAATACCAACCCTTCTCAAATAATTCCCAAAAGTTAAGGACAAGGGAAATCTCCCTATCACATTTCCCAAGGCCAGTGTTACCCTAATACCAAAACCAGAAAACGTGCAACAAAGAAAGAAAACTATAGGCTAATATCTCTAATGCACATAGACTCAAAAAACCTCAACCAAATACTAGCAAACTGAATCCAATAGCACATCAAAAAGATTATACAACATGTTCAAGTTGGATTTATACCAGGGATTCAAGAATGATTCAACATACACAAATCAATAAACATGATACATCACAACAGAATGAAGGACAAAAACCATATGATCATCTCAGATGCAGAAAAAGCATTAGAAAAAATTCAACATCCCTTCATGATAAAAAGTCTCTAAACTATGCATAGAAGGAATATGCCTCAAAGTAATAAAGACCATATGCCACAATTAAATATCATTTCACTCCAATTAGAATGGCTATTATTAAAAAGACAAAAAAAAATACACATGATGGCGAGGATATAGAGAAAAGAAAACTCATATGCTATTGGTGGCAATGTAAATTATTACAGCCACTAAGGAAAACAGTGTTTAGATTTTCTAAGAAACTAAAAACAGAACTACCATACTATCCAGCAATTCCACTAGTGGGCATTTATCTTTTAGGAAGATAAAGAAAATCAGTGTATGATAGGAATACCTGCACTCTCACGTTTACTGGAGCACTCTTCACAATAGTAAAGATATGATTAACCTAAGTATCCATAATGGGTGATTCGATAAAGAAAATGTGTTGTATATACACAATGCAATACAATTTGGCCATAAAATAATGAAATATCATTTGCAGCACTATGAATGGAACTGGGAGTCATTATGTTAAGTGAAATAAGCTAGGCACAGAAATACAAATATCACATGTTCTCACTCACATGTGGAAGCTAAAAGACTTGATCTCATGGACAAAGATAATAGAATAATATTATAGATATTAGAGACCAAAAAGGGTGGGTAAGTAGGAGGGGAAAATAAAGAGAAGTTGGTTAATGGGTACAAATATAGCATTAGAAAGAATGTTTTATAGCAGAATAGGGTGACTATACTTACCAACAATGCCTTGCATATTTCAAAGTAACTAGAAGAGAGGATTTGAAATGATGCAAATACATAGAAATAATAAATACTCAAAGTGACGGATAGCCTAAATATCTTGACTTGATCATTATACATACGAGTCATGTAACAGACACTAACATGTACTTCATAAATATTTAAAATGCTATTTATATATCAATAGAAGAAAGAATAAAGTAAAAATTAGTAAATCTGAGAACCAAGGTAGATGTGTAGCATCATAGCTGAGAGTTCACTGGACTCCAGAACCACACTGAATATCAAAACTCTCTCTGCTTAGACTTTGGGGAAGTCACTTAAAACTCTCTGTGCCACAGTGACGGATGTGGAATATGAAATTATGAATAATCCTCTTAGGATAGTTGTGAGAATAAAATAAGTTAATGTGTCTAATATATTTAAAGCACTTATCATTGTGTAAGGCACATAGTTAAGTAAGGTTTAAGTGTTTGCAGCTGCTATCAGAACTGGTACAAATTGGCTTGGCAGATAACAGGGCATGTGCAAAGTATAAGCAATATGCTCAATGCATAAAACTATATTTTGTAGCTATCTTTTTCTTGCTAGCAGAAATACAAAAGGCAAGAAATGGAGAAAGGTCACTGAAGGAGATGAGAAAGAGGAGATAAAAGCCAGACTTGCTCCATGTTTTTTTATTCCACTTAAAAAATTTTATTACATTTCTTTTTTCATTATAAATATGTATATTTATATTTTATATTTTATGTTTATATATATATTGTTTTCATTATAAATATAAATACATATTTTTAGCGGACAGTTTTGGAAATACAGAAAAAAGAAAAAAAATCATCATACTCGCACCATCCCAAGACAGTTATTGGTAATATCTTGAGTATTTTCTTCAATCCTCCTTCTATGCAAAGCTCAGTTTTTTGCATAGTTAATTTCTATTATGTGTTCTCTGTATCTACTTTTGCCTGGCATCTACTTTTGCCTGGTCTCCACAAGTCTTTTACTACCAAACGTGTCAGAGAGCATCTAAGCTTGACTTACATGACTGAAATGTGGTTGTCTCCCCAAAATGTTCAACTGATTGACTGATTCATCAATGTTCTCTCATGTTCAATTTCTAACAGTTTATAATCAAAATTTAATTAAAAAAACAATTTCTGCATCATTGATTTAATTTGTTTCATTCATATATATAAATATGTGTTTATACATATACATATATAAAACCATCTTAAAGAAATACTTTTAGCCTTTCTTTTCTCTCTTTGCAGTAAAACCATTAGTTAAACTATATTTATTTGACTAACAATGTATTTTACAGTAGTCAACCATGATCATCACCGAGAGTGAAACAATATGATCTCAAGGATCTTATAAAATATGAGTTACCTGAAAAGAGTCTTTCATTTTATAGATCTAAAGTTACATAGAATATTAGAAGAACAACTAAGCTTCCCAAATTCGGCAGTTATTTAGGGTTATTTGTTAGCATTTTTAAATGGTAGAGGAGGTGGCATTTAAAAGCCCTTAAAATAGAAAACAAAAACTATATATATATATATACACCTAGAAAAACAGTTAAGCATATTGTTTTTTAATGAAATGTTATTTTCTTATGTAGTTTGTGAAATTATATTTTCTCAAACTACTATCTCCATTTAGATATTAAGCAATAATAATGTACTACTCACAATTAGAGAAGATTAAACTACCAAACAAAAGAATATTCTATAATAAAACTAAATGTTCTGTTTTGATCCTAAAACAGATGTCATGTTGTTACATGTAGTATATGAAATATTTAAGAACATTAAGAAGTTTTTCAAAACATACCTTTACTAGCTTTATTTCAACTGAATATAAATACGTTTTGAGGGATGCATCACAACAGAGTCTGTATAAAACCGATTCCGCAACAAAAAATAAGGCAGGCAGATGATCATAATCAAAGGAAGCATGGTCCAGAGATGCATAAAGCATATTTAAAGCTTCTGAAATATTAAAAATATAGAAACTTCATCATTTGAAAATCATCCTGTTTTTCTACATGCTATAATTACTTTTTATAATTATTTCCTACCATTAAGACCAAATTGCAGTTTTAAAATGTATTTACAAATTCTTTGACACCTTTTTCATCAAGAGGTGATGTCTATACGCCCTTCTCCTTAAACTTGAGCAGACCCTGTGACAGCTTCAACCAATAGAATGAAATGTGGCAGAAATGATACTATGTGACTTCTAAGACTGAATCAGAAAAGGCACCACTGCTTCCACCTGGATCTCTCTCTCTCTCTCTCAAGATACTAGATTTGGAACTCTAAGTTGCCATATAGGAAGTTCAACTTCATGGCATGAAGCAACTGAAACAGAAACCACCAAGGTCGAGAGGCTAGAGGAAGGAAGAAATGTCCAAGGGGGCTCAGCTATTATAGATTCAACACTATACAGGCCCAACACTAAATAAATCACCAGGTCACACACATAGTGGTGGAGAAATAGGACAGAACCAGATGATAAAAGGCAGTGCTCAAGATAAAAAGGGAAGAACAGAAGACTAGAGAATCAAACAAGAGGAAACAGGGCCACCCTGTGAAGCTGAAGGAGGAAGAATACAGAGATAAGAGCCTAGAGAAAACAGCTTCTCAAATCATTACAAAAGTTTTGAGGAGCTTCCATGTAAATATATGAGGACGAACAGCAAATACAGGGACTTGAGGAAAGAACAACCCTGACATGCTCAAGGGACAGGAAGGAGGTCAGTAGGGCTGAACATAATGAGTAAGTAGGGAGGTAGCCAGGAGCCAGCACATGCAGAGTCCTGTAGGCCATGATATGGAGTTGGGGCTCATTTGAGTGTAATCACAAGCTGTTGAGTGGAGGGTGGACTATAGAATGAGGAGCAGACAAAAGTACAGGTAAAACACCCATTCAGTTATTTTAGTTGTGAAGAGAGTAAGAAGTCATATTGAGAGTATTATTTAGAGTTCAATATGTGAATGTATTGAAATGCTTTTGCTGCATGTAACAGAAAATATAACAAAAATGTCTTCAAAATAAGGAGGTTTATTATTTCACAAGATTAGAATTGGAAAGGTTCCAGGGACAGCTAAGATAGCTGCCCTTTAGATGCACATTTCTTTCATCTTCTAGTTCCCCCTCATGTGCATGAGGACTGTGATGACTGCACAAACTCCAGGCATCATGTTCTTACCAAGCAAACTAGACAGGAACAAACAAGAGTATAGGGAGGAAAGGAATGCTTTTTTCCCAGGCATGTCTTTTTCAAAAGCAAGTCAACAAAAAGTACGGGAAATAGAGCTGTCTTTACATCACTTTGCTGAGGATCAGGTCATGTGACTAACCCTAATCAAATCACTGGCAAGTGAAAAGGAATTACCATAATTGATTTAGACCAGCAGTCCCCAACCATTTTGGCACCAAGGACTGGCTTTGTCTCATAAGGAGGATGCAGCCTAGATCCCTCACGTGTGCAGTTCACCATAGACTTCACACTCTGAGGATCCAATGTCACTGCTGATCTGACAGGAGGTGGAGCTCAGTAATGCTCGCTCACTGGCTGCTCACAGCCTGTTGTGTGGCCCAGTTCCTAACAGACCACAGACTGGTACCAGTTCATGGTCCAGGGTTTTGGGACCTCTGATTTAGACCATCCATGATTCACCCCCGTCGGGTTGGGCAAGGGCCAGTCCTCTTCTAAATCACATGACTAATTAAAACTGAAATTTAATTGTCAATGAAGAGCAAACAGCCTCTTCTTGCTGGTAAACCAAGAGTGTTTACCTCAATATCATTTAAATTATTAATAGAGGTCAGGCTGTGGATGGCACTGTGATGAAGGACCATAAAGGCAAGTTAAATACAAAATAATTCTTCCTGCTGCTTGAAAACTCCTAGATAGCACTACAAAAACCTAATTTACATGGGGAAAATTCTCTCTGAACTCATGTGGTTAACATTCTAAAACTATTTTAAAAGGCATATATATACAATTTTACAATAGTGATGGAAGGAATTTTACCCCCTTAGAAATAACGTTAATTTTTTTTTAGATTAGTTAGAGGATGTTTTAAAGGAGGCATAAACGAGGAGTGATAAATGAAAAGGTAATGAGTAAAGCTTGCTATTTAAAATAAGTGGAAAACAAATGGTCATTTGATTAATGTTTTATAAGTAATAATTATAAAATGAAGAAGCAAATTTCTCTAAAGTCTAGTGCCTATTTTAATTGGAAATCACTAAATGACATTTTATATTAGTTTTTAATTAGTTGCTAATTTTAGCAAAAAAGTAATAAAGACTATGCTGAGTAAAGTTTTGAAAATAATTTTATCACTAAAAAGCTAAGTAGTTAAAATCATAAATTCTAAATTACAAAATGAATTTTCAAAATAAAATGTATTTCGATAGAGTAGAAGAATTTCTTGTCTTCTGCACAATTTTTAAAAATTAAAGTTCTCAAATTATGCCTTCACTGATAATCTAGAAAATGCTTAGGATACCTAATAAGAATTTAAAGTACATACCATCTTGGATTTCCCCTTTGCATTGAGCCAGATATATTACTTCAATCCATGCAGCAGGAAGATGCACATGCTTCCCAGAGCCCAGGGTTTTGAGACCCAATTTTCTCTATTATGAGGAAGCATGAAAAAGACAAATCAAAATGTACATCTTTTATATATTTAATAATTTTTAATTCTTAGTTGTGTTCCAAAAGTAATTCTATGAAGCTAATGCTCGGTGGCCAGAGTTGTATACAATTTTATATTTTTGCTTTTATTACTCAAATTTTTGGAGATTTTATGCAAACTGTATTAGTGTTAAGATGTAAAAAATGTTGATACTATAAGTAATATAATTAGCTATTTGCTGAAAATAATTCTCATTTTTTACTTTCTAGTGAGTACTTCCAATTTTTCCCCAAGAGAATGCATTTTTTTTTATTTTATGAGGAAAAACACTGAAGAAATGTGATAAAACAGAAGCGAGTTTGATGTCAGTTTGCTGGAAAACCCTGGTTACTTCATTGTTGATGTGCAGAAGTTAATGAACATGAGGGAGATGATCAGGATTGTTCCACTTCCCTTATTGTGCCCACTCCTGGGACTGTTGCAGGGAATACTCGTTCAACTGGAGAAAAGTTCACTGATGAATGCACCTCCTGGCACCTGTCTGCATATACACTTATCAAAAGTATACTCTTTTTCTAATCAAATTTTTTTCAAAATCTTCAAATATATGGGCAGCCATGAACTGGAAAATAACAACCACTACAACACCACAAAAAAGGTGGCTTAATTTATGCATCAGTTTTGTGCAGCTTTTATTTAATGAATTATTCATATCAAAGCAAAATATGTATGTTATTTCTCTGTAAAATTTAAACCGAGTCCAATGTAGAAAAGGAAAAGCAAGGACTTACTTTACTTCCTGTTCTGTTTTGATATCTATTTGTAAATTTGGGGATTAATGTCATATTCTTAAAGAATATATTTTTCACAATTCAGGTGAAGAATAGTTTGTTACAGAGAAAGAACAGAGTACTTCATGCGTATATATAAAAGTTTAGAAAGGCCTTTTTCTCCTTTGAGACACAGCGTATCTCAGTTAACTTTTTAAGAAAAAATAGAATTTTCATAATCAAAAATTTATTTGCCAGACTTAACATTTCACTATGGGCTCCTGGACTGGTATATTTCCACAAAAATTTACAGGAGCTTTTATTATTTGGTTATAAGCTTTAACCTTAATTTGCATTAATATTTTAACTCTCCCTACTTATAATTAAAGAAAGATGTATTCCTATTTTTTCTTACAATATTTTAGAATGTGTAATCATGTACCAACTAGAAAAGGAAGTTAACATGCAGAACAATCCAATGATATGCCATTACCTTACATCTGACAATGATTTTTCTGGCTAGTTCCAACAATTCTTCCTTCTCTTTGGAATTTTGTGTTTGATTGAATCTCAAGATGAATTCTTTTGTGATTGAAAATGTTGCCCTAAATAAAACATTGAAAAATTAACATTCAAAAATTATAGCTATCATTTCCAAATTTCAATTAATCAACTTCCAGTGGCTATGTATAACTATATTCTAGAAAAAATACTTTCTTAATAAAACTATTTCACACACAAAAAATCAGTAAAAGATATATGCAAGCCTCCTGGATTGATCCTGTCATACTATTAGATTGAGAAACATAATTCCCATTGTTAAAGACCTTTGTGGCCCCTGAGAAAAAGTTTCTGAGATGACTGCTAGAAGTCTTGTTGGTATAAGCCTTCTTCAGATAAAATCCAGCACAGCTTCAATTTTGTTGAAGGCTGATTTATCTCCTCACATAAATCAGCATTGATTCATTTAAGCTAAACTTTTACTCCTTCTATGCAAGTGGAATCAGCCCAAACATGGTTGGATTTGAGGGAGCAAGGGAAGAAAGAAGTATAAGTATAAAGTAAGGTCAAAGAGGTAGCAAGTAGCCATATTAACTACATGAAATGGGAGACTACTACAGGGTTTGAGAAGAGGCGTGGCAAGATTTAACTTGAGCTTCAACCAAATTTCTCCAATGCTATATTAAGAATTAGCATGTAGGGAGGTGGGATGTAGCAAAAGGGGGAGCTTATATGTAGTTAGGTGAGACGTATTAGTGGCTTGGATCAGGATTATAGAATATAAACAAGGAGAAGAATTTAGATAATGGATATGTCTTGACTTCAGCTCCAATCAGACTGGCCAATGAATTAGAAATTAGGCATGAGAGAAAGAAAGAAGTCGTGATTCAACTGAGTAACTAGAGGGACTGAATTGCTATTTACTAAGATGGGGAAAACTGTTAGAGGAGTAGATGTGGGGTGAAGATAGAGAATAATTTTAGTATTGGACATGTTATGTTTGAGATTATCATGGCCATCCAAGTGGAGATGGAGTGTAAGCAGTTGGATATATGAGTTTGAATTTCAGGGAAAATTCAGACAAGATATATCAGTATTCGAGTCATCAGCATACATATGGAATTTAAAGTCTTATGAATTAAATGGATCCCACAGGGAAAATGTAGAGAGAGTATATGAGAATTTCAAAGAAAAGTAGGACAAATAAGTTGAAGGCGTATGCAAGAGAATAAGTGAAGTGATAATAAGGATGTACCACAAAATTGAAGATGGGCATAGGATCAAAGTGATAGCAAAAGAATAGTGAACAGTAGAATCAATGAACTTTGTTTTTGTGAAGTAAAATTATTGTTGGAGTCATGCTATTAGAAATAATAATCTGAAAAAATAAAACATTTTAAATTACTGTATTTACTGAAATAGAATTTACTAAATTTGTTGCTCTCTGAGATAAAGAAAAAAATGAATAGAAATCAGATTTTGTCCCTGAGTAATTCACAGTCCTACTGGGGAGACAGACCTACTACAAATAACAACAGTGCCACATGATCACAGGCTGAACAGAGGTAATGATAAGGTGTTCTGTAAACTGGAATCAAATATAAGATATCCCAGAACAGAGCAATTAATGAAATAATCAACCCTTTAACTGCTATTTTTTAAATGGGCAGTTAAATACCAATCTTAAAATAAGCATTTATTAATTCGTTTACTAAGAATTTATTGATGGTCTTCTATATATCAGGAACTAAGTTTCACATTGGGGATACAGTAGCAAAAAAGACAAATAATCCAGCCTTAATGGAGCTTGCAGTACAATAGAGGAAGTGTTCAGGTGTTAGAATATACAAAGTCTGTGATAATTGGGCATTTTGAAATAAGTAACTTCATCTTTAATTTCCTGATTTTCATTTCATTCTTGCTTTTGGAGATATTTGGTGAGCACTGGCTGAAAATTGTTTCTCAGTAGTCATCTGGGATAACATATTTTTGATCTATGTGAACCTACTCTACATAAAGTGTCCAAACTAGCTTTAATCTTCTCATTTGTGTGAAGAGTTTGGAAGTTAAAAAAGATAGCCCCTTCATCCATTTAATTTTTATAATATCATTAGGAATTATGTTTTTTAAAATATGAAAGTAACAGTGCTGTTTTTAATAACCCAAACATTCAGAGATGCATAATGAAAAAGTTAATAGATTGCTTCCCAACACTACTGCCTCCAATTTGAACTGTCAAGATTAAGAGCCAAGATTAATGACTTATTGTGTATCTTTACATACCTTTCTCAGCGCTCACAAACCAACCAACCTATATACACACTTTACAAAAACTTCTGGGATGCAGCAAAAGCAGTAATAAGAGAAAAGTTTATAATAATAAATACTCACATTACACGGAGAAATAACTGGAAAAAAAAACAGCTTACCTTTATACCTCAAGGAACTATAAAAAGAATAATCCTAAAGTCTGCAGAAAGAAGGAAATAATAAATATAAGAGTAGAAATAAATTAAAGAATAAAAAACTAAAAATCATCAAAACCAAGAGTTGTTTTCTTGAAAAAATTAACAAAATTGAAAAACCATTAGCTAGAATAATCAAGAAAAAAGAGAGAAGTCAAATAAATAAAATCAGAAATGAAAGTGAAAACATTATAACAGATGCCTCAGAGACATAAGAAACTATTATGACCAATTATATACCAACAAATTGGATAACCTAGAATGAATAAATTCCTAGAAATTTACAAGCTACCAAAACTGAATCAAGATGAAATAGAAAGGCTAAACACACCAATAGAAAAACAAGATTAGATTAGTAATGAAAAATCTCCCAACAAAGTAAAGCCCAGGACCAGGTGGTTTCATGGTTGAATTCAACCAAACATTCAAAGATGAATTACTACTAACTCTCTTAAACTCTTGCAAAAAATACAAGTAGGAACACTTCCAAACTCATTTTACGAGGCCAGCATCAACTTGATACTGAAACTATACAAAGAACTACAAGTGAAGAAAACTATAGGCCAAAATCCCTAGTGAACGTCAATGCAAAAATCATAAATAAAATACTAGCAAAGTAAATATAGTGACAAATTAAAACAATTATACACCATGACCAAGTGAGATTTATCCCTGGAGTACAAGAATGGTTCAACATACAAAAATAAATCAGTGTAATATACCATATTACTAAAGAAAAAAAAAAAGGGTCATCTCAACAGAGAAAAAACATTCGCCAAAGTTTAACTTCCATTCATGATTACAATTCTCAAGAAAACAGGTGTAAAAAGAATTTACTTCAATTTACTTTACACAATAAAGACCATCATATCAAAAACCCACAGCCAATATCATAATCAATGAAATAAAACGGAAAACTTTGCCTCTAAGACACAAGACAATGATGTCCCTTTCTACCACTTCTTTTCATCATAGTACTGCAAGTCTTAGCCAGAACAATTAAATAAGAAAAAAATAAATAAAAGCCATCCAAAATGGAAGAGAAGAAAATTATCTCTTCTTGAAAATGACATATATGTAGACATTCCTAGATAATCCACAAAAATCCCTTAGAACTAATAAATGAATTCAATAAAGTTGCAGGATAAAAAAGGGAACATACAATAATCAGTAACATTTCTATATATAAACAATGAACTATCCAAAAAAGGAAATGGAGAAAACAATCCATTTATAATAGCAACAAAAATAATAACATACTAAGGAGTAAACTTATCAAAGAGGTGAAAGACTTGTACACTGAAAATTATAAAACATTGATAAAGCAATTTACAGAAAACACAAAAAAAAAGACCTATAAAAAACAAAGACAATATAGAAAGACATCCTGTGTTCATGGATTGGAAAACTCAGTATTGTTTAAATTTCCATATTACCCAAAGAGATCTACAGACTCAATTCAATTTCTATCAAATCCCAATAGCATTCTTTACAGAAATAATAATAACATTCATATGGAATCACAAAGACCTTGAATAGCCAAAACAATCTTATGCAAGATGAACAAAGATGGAGGCATCACATTTCCTGACTTCAAAATATTACAAAGCCACAGCAATTAAATCAACATGGTACTGGCATTAAAAAAAGACCTAAAAGCCAATGGAAGAGAATTGAAAATCCAGAAATAAATCCATATATCTACAGTCAACTGATCTTTGACATGGGTTGAAAGAATACACAATGAGGAAAGGATAGTCTCTGAATATCCACATGCAGAAGAATGTAATTAGACCCTTATCCCACACCACATACAAAAATCAATTCAAAATGACTTAAAGACTTAAATGTAAGACCAGAAACTGTAAAACTATGAAAAGAATGCATAGGGAATATGCTTCTTGATATTGGTCTTCACAATAATTTCTCAGCTATGAACCCAAAAGCAAAACTAGACAAGTGGGATTGCATCAAACTAAAAATCTTGTGCACAGTATAAAAACAATCAACAGAGTGAACAGGCAATCTATGGATTGATAGAAAATACTTGCAAACCATGTATCTGAGAAGGTGCTAATATCCAGAATATATAAGAAACCAAAATCAATAGCCAAAAAGAAATGACCTGATTAAAAAATGTACAGAGGACCTGAATTGATATTTCTTAAAAGAACACATACAGATGGCCAACAGGCATGTGAAAAGGTTTTGTGTTTTTTTCTTCTTTTCTTCTTCTTCTTTTTTTTTTTTTTTTTGTCTTTTTCAACTATTTTAAATGATCAGCATTTTTAAAAATATTTTACTATGGTATACTGGAAGTATAAGTTGTATAGAGACTTTCAGAGAGTTATAATTCATTTTATGCATTTTTTTTTTTTGCAAATTTGCCTACAAAAAAGTGCACTATAACAACATTGACTTAGTGTGCAAGCATTGTATGTGTACAAAAAAAGGCTAAAACTTTCTCAGTAAATGAAGACATGTCCTTTTTGTACAGCTGCATTTGTGAAAGATAAAATATATTGAGATCTTGGTTCTTTTAGGTTACTGCGCATGTGGTGTTGACCCATCACAGTTTGTGCCAATCTTGTCAAGACTTACGTTGTTCATCAAAGAATGTCAGATGAACACAGTTATAA